TATTTGTATTTAAAATCCTAACAAATACGAGAGTAGAGTACAGCGTATAGAAATTCCGTGAGGTCTTGTTCAGTACCGAAAACTAAATTAGGCCTCTAATCCTACGACTTTCCGTCTCTTCCTTCACACACGACAAACAAAGGACTCAGACCACTGCCCGCGTTACATACATTTGCACTTACCTCTGTGAAGGAAAAGGAGACGAACTTATCTCTGATGTTAATCTGTGAACCGCGTCGATCCAATATCAGCACTAACAATAAGAGCGTTAGCTTTGAATAATATGGGGGACTAACTCTAGGTAGGCTCTAGTCTAATCCCAAAACCCTCGATCATTACTGAGATTATTCACGACTTTCACATCCTCAACCATTCTAGATCGTAAATCCAATTCATTAACTCATTGTCATGTGGTAGTTTTACAGCGTTACTGAGAGACACTAACCCATACAGATTTCAAGAAAACTAGTGTTTTATTTAGGAGAGACGTATTATCATAGAATTATTATTATTTCTATTAAACTACTTGGGGGAATTAAAATATGTCAAATAAAACATTTAAAGTCCAATATATTCATAATGGGCTTAAACAAGTAGACGCTTTATAGCTATTTATTTTAAATTTTTTATTTATAATACGAAATTAGGAAGGTCTAAGGAAACCAAGAATAATCGAAACTGAATGGTACACATCAACTTGTGGCATGTGCTGATGATGTTAATTTATTTGCAGAAAACATTACAATAGGCGCTAAAGAAAGACAGATGTTAATAAAGGAACGCAGAGAAAACTAATTTACATATTAACGTCTTGGCTTTAGACAGCAGGGCAAAATCATGAAATAAATACAGAGTCTTAGAACATGTTACAAAATTTCAAATACGGTAACGAATCGTTTTTAATCAGGAAGTTTCTGGACAACTGAGCGACCAGTAGCTTTTCAAGAACTTCAAAATACAAATTCGATGGCCTGATGATGACACACTTGTGGCCAAAAAATTGTTTTATAATAAAATGTGTAGATTGAAAATGATTTTAACACTAAATTCTCAAGTAGAACTCTGAACCATGGGTTTAGTTAATTAGTTATCAACAATTTTACGTGTGAACGTCCATTGTGTACGCATTTCATCTGTAAAACTGAAGTATCTAAATCATATTCCTGCATTTTCATCCACTTTTCTGACTTTGTACGGAAACAGTGATTTATGCATCAAGTTCGTGTGTCTGTTACCAGTTAATAAAGTTTAAAACAACTGACGGATTATGACGAAACTTTACAAAACATTATGCCATCAGTTTAACCCTACCCATGAGGCCATTTTTTAAAATAAATTCCTATCGTTAGTATGCGTGGATGGCGGCTGCGATAACTTTAGCATAGTCGCGTAGTACCCTGAAACTAAGTGTAGTAAGAGACCAAACCTTCTACAGATTGCTCGACGAGAGATGAAACTTTGAAGTCGGCATATGGAATTTTGTATAAAGATATATAATTAAAATATCCACGTATTCTGTTTGAAAATCTTTGCGATGAAACCTTGATGTTATATCAGGTAAACCTCATGCAAATTATACGTAAAGAACAGATTACGAAATCGTATAATTATTTATTTGTACATATTCATTTCTAGGCAACCTACACAAATTGAAGTATTTGTTCCGAACTTGGAATTTCATGATCTCAGCATATATGATATTATCCTATTACCCTGGGATCCTTAAATTTGTGCAGAAATCATACTCCATTGCCCTTAAACTTTATTCCCTCTCCCATTGACTCAAAAATATGCCCCATTCTCTATTTACACTGTTTCGTCAAAATTATAAATTAGGTAGCAGTAGTTATTGGTTCTGATTTGTTTCCGATTAAAATCAATGCACAAACCACTTGAACAATTGTTCCTAATGGCGAGATTCTGTAAAATCCTTTTAACTGTCAGACGTGCACACAGTTTAACAACAATTTTTACAAGCTGTTTACATAGAACTCTGTATAAACGACGTGTACATTTTATATTGCTTGTCTCGCTTTGTACGAGATTCAGTCACGCTTTTACGAGTGTCCCCAGCCCGGAATAAATACATGTTTCCATCAATTCAGACCTTAATTGCATTTATTCAGTAACAGGTTTCAATTGAAGTGGAGTGGCGAGTAGGAACTTCCCTCAAAATTTACGCTTGAAAACATTATACTACGGTTTTCATTCTGAAATGTTTCAGGAAAGCATTTTCGTGTCCATGTCACAGCTCAGGCTGCTAGATGTTCACTTCACATCAAGGAGTCTCGGGCTATCTCGTGGTTATCTCCGTGCGACTTGAGGCTAACAAAATTAACCTTTTGTTTAAATAATTAGACAAGTGTGAATTTTGTTTGTTTTGGCAGGGAGAGAAAATGATATTGGTATACAACTAAATAAATATCAATAGTTTTGTAAAATTATAAAATTCAAGTCTACTATGGAAATGCCAAATGTAAATTCTAATTATTTTCGTTTGTCAGGTGGGCTTCGCGACATGCAGACCGTAATCTGCATTTGTATAAATTATACGAAAACCTTTGAAACGTAAGAGTATAATACGTATTTCAGAACAATCTGCTGCTAAGTAGCTGCCATGTTGTTGTAAAATGTATCGGCTCCGCAGCCAAGTCAAATCAAGACAAAATCATTTGCAGGATTCATATTGCACAAGGGAGCCAGCGCCTTACGACAGAATGCTGTAAAGTGGCGCCATGATGCGGATTTCGGTACTGCATTTATTTTTGTATGTTCACTTAGTAATCTCTGATGACACCAGAGTGTACTGACTATCGCGTATTAACTGTTTGTCAACCGTAGACCTCTGGTGGTTGGTAAGTTGTCCGCAAGGGTCGCGATTAGAGTAGTCCACTCTTTTAATGTCTTCTTTACTCCGAATCTCTGTAAGTTTTTGCGCATTTTTTCATCATATGTTTCACTTATACATTGGAGTAAAATTATATATATAAAAAAATCATGCTTTCTGTCTACATTTAGTATGTATTCCATATAATCAAAATGTACGAGAATTATGAAGAGGGGGTTCGTGGTACCGAAAAGGTTTGGAGGGGGGGGTTCTTTGTGAAATTTTATAAAGATCAACATGCTCTCATGTTATAACCTGTTACACATTGTAATAACCACACTGTAATAAATTTGTTAATATGTATGTGAAACTACTGTCACTATTGCTTGCAATATAATTGTACTTGTGAATGATGTCCATATTCATGGATAAGGAAGACAAACAGCTAATTAACAAGGAATTTTACAAAAATCTGCAACAAATAACTGATAACATTATTTTACATTTGTGAGGTGCGAGTATAATCTTAAATAGGGTATTATGAAACATCGTGGGCATGTGAAACAAATTACATTTGGTTTTATCTGTCAAAATTTAGTTTTTCTGACCAGAGAGTCAGATATCTACCCTCACACCTCGTAAGCAGTGTGGCCAATAGTTTTAAATTCCTGATCTGTCAATCATATACAGTAGGTAACTTACACGACTTATGGTCCAGGGCGAGGAGATGTTGGTGCTGCCTCTGATTGTAATGGGGTTACTCTTGGTGGCTGGAGGTGCCTGCAGCCTGCTGTTACCTGAGACCCTGAATCAGCACCTTCCACAGAGCCTGGAAGATGGTGAGAAGTTTGGGAAAGATTGGAGTTGGAGGAACTTAGCTGCCTGCTGTCCACCAAGGTAAATACACACGGGGGCTAATTTGAATTGTGTAATGAAAGGAAATGTAAAATCAGCAAACTCTCTGGTAGGATTGAGGTCTTCACGGCGGTGAGTCCGAAGATGGCCGTCTTCTGGGTTAGAGTGCCATGTAATCTGGCAGAGGTTTACCAAGATGACACACATCACCCTGATGACGGAGGCATCAAGGACCTTTGAAACGTTGGTGAACTTCTACCAGATTACACCGTGCTACAGCCGTCTTTGGAGAACACTGTTCCATAGAGAAATTAGTAGTCGTGGCACATAAATGCGGGATGTGTAAGCCGAGAGAGGGGAGTTCAGTAGTAGGGGAGGGGGGTCGCACAGCCTCAGCTGCGGTGACGCACCGAACTAAACACAGCTAGAGCTACAAACCAACTGAAGCTGACACCCCTCTAGCGCGTGCTTCGGACGAGTCCATCTCATACGACCAAAATCAGTCCTTTGCGCAAGCGCCAGAACTTCTCGCGCGACCTCTACATTAGTTACTGCAGACATGAAATAAAGTTTGAAATCAGTGCCATAACGCAATAAATTTTATATCACCCTGTTACTATTGAAATGGTGTTAAAAATTTATGTTAAATAAAGGAATAAATTAGCTGGACATTTTAGCACCAGTAATGCATACAAAATTTGCCGCCACATCTCATAAGACAAAAGAAAAGAAAGTTTTAACTCCTGATCTTTATATTTAAGCAAAACATATTTTAAGTATATAAGTAATTGTGCATATAAGAGAAAGAAACGTTTTCTTTCTTAGTTTCGCCTCGCTTTTAAATATGGTCTTAAATCTATATTGGATTTTCTAGGGTAGGGGACGTTGTGCCTGAGGGAAAACACACGTCCATTGAATCACCTTTACGGAGGTAAGGAAAATTGTTTAATTCTAAACATCACAGCACTAATCTCATAATCAAAACACACCACTGCTTAATCCTGTATGTTTAAGTTATCTGCAACTCAAACTCCGAAGGTATCAATCAGCTCAGTCAAGTCAAATTTCATTAAAAATTATTAAATATGTTTTTTTTTCCAGCCTTATTCAACATCACATTACAGAATCAAAACCCGTGACAATAGTAGAAGGAAGAGCCCCGGAAACTCCTGAAACAACAACACCAACAACTGAAATCATAATGGAATCAGTTGCTGGCAACGCAGAGGAAACCATGAGAATAACCGTGGTTTGACAACACGTATCATGGCATGGCGTCATAGGACTGCAGGTTTATATAACCATATAAGCTGGCAGTTCATAATTTCTCGTAGAAGAACAAAATAACGAAGTTGGACAACTTCTGTGATATTTGAGAATGTAGATTCATTATTATTATTATTTTTAGATCTAGAATATGGCCAGAAAATGTACATATTTTATGACTCTACTCTTTCTTTCTTTTTCTTCTTCTTCTCTCTCTTTCTCTTTTTCTTCTCTTCTTCTTTCTTTCCTCCTCTTTCTTTCTTTTTTTTTTTGCATGTCAAGAAATCCTGTAAGTCCACAAAGAGGCTGTTTGATTCCTCTTTAGCAACCAAACTGTATGATACAGTGCTTCGTAATTGTTTGGATTTCGTACAGTCTTAGCAATCCCGAAATTTTGTCATGATTTCTGCCACTTTCACCGGTCAAAGTGCTGCGATTTTACCATGAATACTTATTTCTGCATCCTTCATTCATAAACAGGTTGTTTGGTGCAGAAACTGTGTTATCTTTCCTGACGTTTTAAAGGTTTCCCTTAGTTTTTACAGGAAAACATGAAGATATTTACTTCACGAATACATGGACCATCCCTGCCACATCCTTTCCTATTAATCATTCATAATAATCTGCCCACTTCATTTGGCACTGTGTAATCTGCAATCGAAAGGGCGATTTATCGCTTAACTGGTGATGTGTGGTCTGCGAGACTGCAGAAAAAAAAAATGGGGGGAAGAGGAGAAGAGATTATGGCTTGCTCTGTTCTCTTTGCCTTCTTATCTATTATTTATACATCTACTCATATTTCCTTCCTTTCTTCAGTCATTCGATGCTGTTTGTATTGCAAAATGTATTTCAGCCGCTGTCTGGCAGACCACTCGTCACCAGTTATGTGACTTTTTTGACTTGGCTGCTCTCATATTTACCACGAGTAAGTGTGTAGGGTCCTTAAAGTGGGTTACACCTCATGATCCAAACTTTGGATAATTTATTTGGTTATATTATCGAGAACGTTTGAGTGATGTCGAGCGTTAAAGTGTACAATTAACGGTGACCGCAACGGGGAGAGTGACAAAATCAAGAAGTTTACACTTTGCAGATTTTTGCTCAAAAAAGCATTTTGATAGTTTCTTCGTGTATTATACTAGAACATAATAACAACTATCAAAATGAATAACTTTTTTCATATTCTTTCACGAAGGAGTAAAAAATATACGCCAGTTCCTAAATTCATGCAAATCCTGCAGACATTTTAAAAAATATCAATGAAACGTACTAAATAATTTCATTTAAAAGCATTATTGTGATATATACATCAAGTAAGATATGAAGCAGTAGATTTAAAATTTGTTTGTACGCAAATAAACCTGGGATCATACATGACTACCGAAACTCCAGCAGTCTCTCAGACTCCGCATCACTGTTAGCACCACATAAAACACATATCAGCAGTTAAGAGTTAATAATATATGTTACCAATACATATCTAGCTGACAAATAAGTCACTCAAAACTCCGTGTATTTTCAATAACGGGCAAAGAAAGCAGTGATTGTACGAGAATATTCTCAATAAATTATATGCAGTTTACACAGCTGTGCTTTTGAAAAAAATCTAAATTGAGTTCTATTCTACATTTTGCACATTAATACTTCAACTACATGTCTCAAAATCAGTCCAATGTTGCATTCATGTGTGCCCAGCCTGATCTATTACTGTTATCACAAAGTAGCGTAGAGATTTAAATGGGAACATACCCTCTCAGCTAAACACTTTCACTGCCTGGGATAGTTTAACCCTCCAGGACTCGGGTTTGAGCGCAGCGCCGGATTTTCAGTAAAAGTCTGATAACTCTTTCTAGGAATTGTTTTCTATCCTGTCGCTTTATCTATGTTAAGAGGAAACCCCCTTCCATGGTAATTTCAAAGGAAAAATTTCTAGCTACGACTATAGACCCACTTTGTTCAGTTTACTTGTAGAATTCTGATAGTTCGGCAGCCCGCTCACACGCGAGTGTTTGTGTTCCAAAGTGAATTGTTTTTAAGTTTGGGTTAATTTCGTCTCTATTGGTCACGTTTACCGATAATGGCTTTTAAAACAAGATCTTCTGATCAGTCTCTTAATCGTAACTGCTTAAATAAATTAAAAGTCAGTAATAGTCTGATTAAGTATTTGCTCAATTGATGGGTTGCGGCGCGGCGCTCACACGCGAGTCGGGACGTTCCAAGGGCGGACGCGAGCGCTGGAGGGTTAAAGTAATTTTATTTAAATCTAATAAAGGCAAGTCTCCAGACAGATTCACCATCCATTTATACTCTACTTAAAATATCACTTTCTGACAGTTTATTTACAGGAGTAATCATTTCATAAAACATAAATTATGAGTTATGCATGTGTTTGTTCTTGTTCAAAAAAAGGTTGTGGTTGTCGGCTAGACTGGTATGAAACTGAGGGCTCACATCTTTCTAATACCTGAGAATTTCATTTTATTCTTTATCTATCTTCTTTTTATTCAATTCAATTCAATTCTTTATTATTAGTGTGCTGTATCAACAGCCTGATGGCCAATTACAGATACAGCACAGAGATGAGCACACGAACACAATAAAAACATAAAAGGTGAAACAAGCAGAATATAAAATACATTAATACAGAGGACATTAATACACAAGAAAATTGCAACTAAATATATTTGCATATTTGTAAAAATAATTTAAATCAATTAAGTAAATAATACTATTAGAGAATGTGAAGAAGTGTGACAATTTTCGTCTCGAATATATCCAAGCATCTAGCAGATCAAAGGGCTAAAACTGAACATAGAAAAATCTCTCAGATTCCGAGCAGGGATGCGGAGACCGACAGCTTCCTTGTAATAAAACTATTCTTAAATAAAATTGAGTAAAGTAATAATGAACTCTCAATACAGTAGATTCCGGTTAACCGGGCCATCGGTTAATCAGGGCAGCCGTTCATTTGGGACAAATCTTAAATAACAAACCTTTTTAACTCTTTACGTAGAACTTCACTTAATTGGGCCAGAGTGTTCTAGTCCCGATATATATCCCAAATTAACTGAAATCCACCGTATATACAATGTCCCAAAAAAAATGTATTCATAAGGTTAATAGCCCATATTATGAGTATACATTTTTTGGGTCACTCTTGTGTGAAAGAGAGCAAATATTTATGTGAAATATCTCTGATTATTACTAATGCTGCACTACATGTAACCTTCTCTCATCCTATACTTGGTAAATCTGCTCAAATTATGACCGCATTAACTTTCTTTTGGCCATATTTAGATGCAAGCCGTTGTTACAGCATGGGAAATTACAGAGAAAGTAGTTCCTGTTCAGTGTAATCAAATATATACCGCACGATTATTACTTCTTCAGTTGGTTCAGTAATATAAATTGTTTTATCACACTTCCAAATACGTCTACAACTGATATAACAGCCAATGTCTGTCATGATTGTACGAATGCAGTTTGTGTGATGATGAAAAATTTTAAAATAAAGTTTTTACAGTGGTAATTCTAATAGCAAGAAATGCAAATGAGTCTACAGTGGTGATTATAATGGAATCTGGCATCGTTGGTGTTTGGTAGGAGTTTGGAGTTGGGCGGTAGGTTTTGTGTTTGTGCGTTTGGCAGGAATATGGTTTCATCCGCTGTGAAGACATTTTCATATTTACTCTACTTTACAAAGAAATTTTTATAAATTTTGTATTTTCAATGCAATCTGCAAAAGATAATACTGCAATAAATCGTATTACTGTTCAACACAAAAAAATGTTCATTTCTTTCAACTTTGGCGAGTCTATGCTAATATATTCTAATAATAATAAAGGCTTTGTATGGATCTGGAACCTGATTACTTTAAAAGAAAAACATAAAATGCAAATGTATGAAAACAAGTGCTCAGGAAAATATTTAGAGCTAAGAAGGATGAAGTAAGTGAGCAATTTAGGACATTACAAAATAGAAATCTAGGACGCTAGGATTTTTTTTTATAATTTTGTCTCGTCTTATATTTTTTCCTAATTAAATCTGTCTCCGTCAATCAATTTTCATGCCTTTCAACATACTTATCACACCCCACTTTCTATTCCTTGTTCCTTATAGATTACACAATTTAAAAATTTATCCTCAATTACATTAAAATTCTTGACTGACATCTTATCACACTCTCAGAATAAGCATCTCCTTCACCCATGTAACGAGCATCTCAGCATGCAGAACCTACATCACCTACTGGCACTTCACCTGCCTCGTATTATGGGATCTAGTCCTGCATCTCAGAATTATCATTAAGATGAAATAATATTTTTCTTTGTATCAAGTGCTTCATTTCTGTTGCACAGTGCATCCTTGAATGTATCCTTTCACTGTGTAATCAATTTCTGAAAATTCTTTCCACAGCTGGGCAAAATGCTGACTGAATGGAATAACAAGATTTGGCTCTGAAGTCACTATAATGTTGTCCCAATTTCCTGAAACTGCTTGCATTGTCCAATTACAGGAACCACTCACAAGAATGTGATTATTAATCACAGCAAACTTGTGGTGCATCAGGAAAGGGGACTTCTTCATGCGCACAGGCACTCCTGAGACAAAATTTAAGAAAACTATAAATAATTTAATTTGCACAAGAGTATAATAAAATCACAGCTGTAGAAAAGAATAAACTTAATTATTCTAAGCTAACAGAATTAGTTCACTTAAAATTGTTTCCAAATACTGTAAAAAAAAGAATGTAAGATATTACATATACGGAAGTATTTAATTTGGGGAGGTAGGTAAGTGTTTATGGCACACGTGGGAGAAATTATAAATGCGCACAAAATTTTGATTTGAAAGCCTAAGGGGAGCATGAAAAAGGGTATGGACTGGATTCATATGTCTCAGGATGTGGACCAATAGTACAATCTTGTGAACATAATAATGACCCTCCAGGTAACATGAAAGGCAGAAAATTTCAGACTGAGTGACTATTGACATGTACATGTGGGATTTTTAAAGAAACACCCTCTTTTATTACATCCTGTTCATGTAATCTAGATATCAAGCCTACAACTCACCATATTTCCTGAGTGCATGTACTTGAGCACCAGTGCTACCTGCCATGTCAGCATCAATTATAATTCTTACTTTAACACCCTTTCTGTGCATCTTAATAATTAAGTCTGTCACACATTTCAGTGTAATCAAGTACATACACACATCTAAGGATGATTTGGCACCTTGCAGCAGCTGAATGAGACGTCTGGATAACAGAAAATAGTTTATCTCAATAAGGTTACAAAACTTGGCGGGGGAATCACACTTCATCAGGCAATGCCAGGGACAAAAGTACAGCATAATTAAAATCTAATAGTAGTTTTGGTGATGTATACCTCATATTAAAATACGAACAGGACTTCTTGTCGCAACTTATCATCCTGTAGCAGTGTTCCTTACATTCAACTCCCTTATCCGTAAAAAACATAACCTCATTCAAATGACCCGAATTTTGTTTACGTTTTCTATATCGTTCAATGTAATGCAGTACAATTTCTGCAATCACTGCTGCAAAAACCAGTGACTTTGCAAAATTCGTCAACGAAATCATCTTCAAACGTCCTTAAATCTAATTCCCTTACGTTAATTTCTCGGTAATTTTGTTGTAATAATTGTTACAGACTGAGGGAAAGATATATGTAGATTAACATCAATACAACATTATTACACTTTACAAAGGAACTTCTTGCTCTGTTTTATACCATTTTCAAGCAACCTCCGTATTCAGTACATGCACAACCACATAGTCCACAATTTTTCATATTGCATTCCACAGATGTATAACATATTTTTTTAAACAAATTTCTTGTGCGAATTTCTTATTTCAGGTTTAATTCTTCTCTCGCCAGATGGCAGAGTGAATGTATAAATGCAGAGATATTTACTGGTATGTAAGCATACCGATTATTAGTATTTGTTATCTGTGTTAATAATGTTGTTCTTACGCCATTGCTTTTATTATGAATTGCTTGTGCATTATTTGTTTAGTTTGGAAGTATTATGTATCTCATTAGTTTAACTTCATTGTGGAATAGTAATACTACAATATGCCCAATACACAACAATGAATTTAAATTTACAGTCGGAATGTAATCTTGCTGCAATCCTATAATTTTCATTTTTCGTAGGAATGTCCTGATCAACATGTCTACCAAAAATGCTTTCTTGTTTTTCATTAACTTTTAATGGACGATATAGAACAAACAAAGGATCATAAAATCTCGGAAAATGTCGGCAAGTCTGTATTTTTGCCAGTATAATGGATTGCTGACAGAAAAGGGGAAGAGTAAATAAAAATTAAAATTCTGCCCAGAAAATGACGCAGTATATGCCTCCATAACTTTGATGTCTACCTACAATCCAGGTAACTAACACTGTTATATTCATTTACAATTATTTTTACTTGCAGCTTACAAACAGAAGCATTTATTGGAAGTTATGTGAAATAAATTCTTCCCAGAAGTTGTTTAAATGGAACTACATACTTTTTACACACCCTCAATTCCTTTGTGATTGTACTGAAGATATTTTCCCCTCTCCTTGTCACACCAATAGACTGGTATCACAGTCAAGCAGTTAGCAATCCTGTTTTATATTCTGGAAGTTCTGGGTTCAAATCTTGGCCCATAAACATACTATCCATATAGGTTTCTCATTGTTTTCATCATTCGAGTTGAATTCTGAGACAGTACCTAACATTTGGTCATGACTGCTTTCTTCCACATCTTTTCCAATTCACTGGCCATTTTGATCTTCTGGAATGTGATGACATGTAGTCTTATAGGTGGTTTACCAGTGTTACTCTAAAACATTAGTAACTGCATAGCATCACAACCCAGAAGATTGCAATCAGAATTTCACCATCATGTTATTTTCAATTCTTTTTTACTAATCATCTTATCATTCAATGCTCAATAATCTGATCTGTTGAAAATGTTATTAAATAAACCAAGAATAAAATAAAAAGTCTGTGATGTAAAACCAATGTATTTCTTCATTTTTAAGTCTATTCTAGTGATTAGGCTCTGTATTGTATCCACAACATTTACATGGCTTCATCTGTGGCATTGTAAGTAATGCCACGTTTGAATGGGATTTATTAGTGATATCTGCTGACACAGGAGTCTAATCGGATTGAATCAGGTAGATATATATTGTAGTGATTGTGCCATGTCTCTTCAGTAATCTTCAAGATGGAACTCCAAGGCATTGATTATTCAAACCTCTCTCTGTTCGGGCCTGACGCCAGGTAAGAGTTCAGTCACAAAATAAATTAATAACCCTTTTATTTTTGCATACATTTTTTTAAAATTTAAAATAGCAAGCATATAAGTGTCAGTCAAAACAGACATCAAACAGATATACATTAATAATTATAAACCAAGCACCGCTTTGACTTCATTCATTTTTATCATTGTACCAAATGACAAAGTTTTATCCAGTATTCTTTATTTTCAGATGTAAATTGATTTGACATCTTTATTTTGGTGCTCTAAATAGAATTCTGTTGCCATTTGTTTAGTCCTCATATTTCACATTACTTAATTTTTGAGGTTTGGTGGTCACCATGTTCATAATACTGACAACAAGAAATTAAAAAGTATGAACATGGGATAAACTTCATTGTTATGATGTTCAAAGTTTCACGAAAAGGGGTCAGTTTGTTGAAATCCTATTTAGGAGAAAGTGGGAGAAGGGGGCATATGTAGGATTTGAGGTTTTCATGGCATTGAGTCTGAAAATGGCTGTCTTCTGGGTCGTTGCACCATGTAGTCTGGTAGAAGTTTACCGACATTTCAGAGGTCCTTGCTGCCTCCATCATCATGAACATAATCTTAAAACACAGCATCATGTTGTGTATATTTTGTAAGTATGAATTTGTGCGTCCCTATCTACCATGAAAATTATGCATTTTAGTGTATGTCAATTACATTTAGCACCTGAGGATGGCGAGAGGCTGAATATATAGTGCCTAACATCTCACTATTCTAATTGAAGTAAACACTTATATAGTTGTATTGACAGTGTCCTTAACACTTTAAACACCAACATGTGGAGGTGTATATAGGAGATACCCCATTTGAATTTAAACTACATTACCAGCTGTCCTCACTGAACTATTTTTGTGGTTTTCCTCAATATTGGTAGATGAATGCTGGCATAGTTACCTTTTAATGGGCCAAGACCCCCCTCTCCAAACTTTTATGTGCTAAACTTCTTAGAAATGATCATCTTCCCATCTTATTCAACACTAATTAGCCTCTGTACTTGAAACTGTCATTAAATAACATGATTATTATCTGTTTTTCTCAGCCTTTATAGTCCTTTGATGTATCTTTTCTTATACTACTTACAGAAAATCAGTGAATGTTTTTGAGGTCAACATATTATTGACAAAAATTAATAGTATATAAATAAATTGTCACCATCTCACACAAATTATTGGCAAGTTTATTGACAACTTTGTTGTTACTTGAGAGCTGCTTGATTCAAATTCAGTGAGCCATCTTCAGGCTCTAAATATACTTGCTCTGGAAGCAGTGTTTGTATAAATGTTGTGGAAGTAAGTTTAATGTTATACAGCATTCAGTTCTAATTTTTAACTTTATTCAGTGCTTTTACCATATCAATATACTACATGTATGTTATATAAACATTCCACTTCCAGTTCTTGTATGTTTAGAGACTGGCGATGGCCCACTGAAGCTGAAAGTTGCTTGCTCATTCCTGGGATCCAGTAATAAACATAAACAATTCAGATATCAAATAATTGAAAGACAGGCTCAAGCAAAGCAAGCAATTGACTTCGCCCACTGGCCCGCTCTCTGAACTGTGCACAAGCAAAGGGCGGTTATACATATGGGTTGCTTAGATTACACGGTATTAGTAGCCCTGAGGATAAGGACATAGATGGTCGTTGGAATGTCAACAAGTTTTGATCATCTGACATGGCTGATGGCCCAAGATTTTATTAATATAGTTTTCAGTATCAAAGTCATCAATAAATTTGTGAAAATTTCTGTGTGAGACATCCACAAGTTTAATATATTATTTCCATGTTTCAGGGTAGCACCACGGTTAATGGGGTGGAATGTGCCCGTTGAAGAGTTGATCCATATACCGTCACACTGGCTGTCATTCCCTGAGGTTGACCCCATGATGCATTACTCCCTTGGTCTGCTCTATTGTTTCTTCTGTGTTGCTGCTCTTGTTGGCAATGGACTTGTCATTTGGATTTTCTCCACGTGAGGGCATTGTGTCAGCTAAATGACATCCTTTATATGCTTCACCTTCTTTGAGACCATTGATATAGTAGTAAAATTAAATTAATGTACTTTCATAAATATACTGTACTGACTAATGTAAATTAGGCCATGGACTGGATGATGGGTTTAATTCCCAACATGGACTTGAGATTTTTCTCAGAAATATCAGAGCCACACTAGCTCTGGGGCTCACCCAGCCTCCTGCCCAATGCGTACTAGGGTCTGTTTCTCAGGGGACAGCAAACAGGACATTAAATTGACCACTTACTTCTGTCTAGTGCCAAGGTCAAGAAAGAGAGGAGCTATATCTCCACTAACCCCAAGCGCCTACATGGCATGTAGCAGGACAAACTTTACTTTTTAATGATTCTTTAATAATGCTAGTAGACCCAGAATGCAACAAAACATATTTTCTGGGAGGGGGGTTTCCCCCAAAATTACTGCTTCTAGAATTAAAATTAAATCCGTGGCGTAACACCTCCAGAGAGCCAAAAGCCGACTAGCTTGACTGCTGGCCTCACATTCACATGCCTAAGCAGAGGTGAACGATCATCCAAGGGTGACGTGTGGTCAGCACAACGAACCCCCAGCCATTGCTAGTTCTCCTGACCGGATTACGCTACACATTGTAGCTCCCCAATTTCCTCATGATGCTGGGTTGACACCGGTCCCATACACCAGTCAAAAGCTCATGAGAAAATTTCTTCTCCCCCGAGACTCGAACCGGCGCGCATTCCGTATCACTGGTCCGAAGCATGATGCCTCAGACCGCGTGGCTACGGCGCGGGACTTCTGCTTCTAGAATATTCTAATAAAATCAGTGCTTGCTTGGGAAAATAGATACAGCAAGAGTATAAAACACAAAGTATTTTACATTGAAAGATATCTGCATAAACAAATGTTGAAAACGAATTTGTAGGGCATTTCTCTCTGTTTAGCAATTTGTTATCTGTATCTGTGACAGAGAAAACATTATATTGATAACATAAGACAGCTATTTTGATCAAAAGCTGATGACACAAACTGAACAGTGGAAATGTTCCAAGAATTATTTGGTGATTACATTATTTATTGAAATGTGTAGCCCCAAAAAAACTCTGGATCCATCATCACTTAGCTGCTGTCTTATGGAACTTTTCGAAAGATAATATGTATTAAAATAAACATCATGGAGAATTTAGACGGAATATTGAGACATGTGTTTTGAAAACTATTCAAGTAACTCTTCACTGTATTGTATGGAACTTTTTACAAAAGATCCAAAGAATGCTCACTGATGGTGGTGGTCCCTATCACTAATTTCTGTACAGAGCGAAGACACTTCAGACTCCATCAAACATGTTTGTGGTAAATCTGGCAATAATGGATTTCCTCATGATGCTTAAGACACCAATCTTCATCTACAACTCGTTCAATAAGGGATTTGCTGCAGGACAAGTAGCATGCCAAGTCTTTGCTTTTATTGGATCCTGTTCAGGCATTGGTGCCGCCTTAACTAATGCTTGCATTGCCTATGACCGATACATGTAAGTTTATGTCTTACTAATCATATGGCTTCTGTGTTCTGTATTTTGTATTCTGTATGCATTTATAATTACAAAAACCTAAAGATTAAAGTGTACTGACTAATTTTACCTTTGATTTGATTGAGAGTGTTTAAGAAATACTAAAGAGAATGAACATAAGAAGTAAGAGGAGGATAGAACATTACAGAATCAGAATTTTATAATGTGTAGTGTTCATCTAATATAAGGATGAAGAAGGAGGGGAATGTACCATGCATGGAGGAAAGTGAAACAGAGAGACTACTTGATAGACCAAAGTATAGATGAGAGAATAATATTAAAATGTTTGAAAGTATGGACTGATATTCAGTTGACCCATACACGTTTGTGTGGGAAAGATTGGGTTCAGTAAAAACTTGGAATTTGGTTTGAAGTTAAAGTCCATTCCAATGTATTACATTATTTATATTATATTATATACTTTTCCTATTATAGTCCTTACATTAATATTGTATGAGCTGCGTAAACTCAGTCAGTATAGTGACTGACTTCGGGCCAGACAATTGGGTTTTGATCCCAGACGGGCAGAGGATTCTCTTCTAGCCTCCGCATTCAGGCGAGCTCTGGAGCCCCACCAGCCTTCTATCAAATGGGTACCAGGGGTTGTTTCCCTGGTGATAAACCATGGCTAGGCATGATGTAGCCCACTCACCTCAAGCTTGAGTATGCTTTCTCCCGCCTGAGTGCGTACATGGCACATAGCAGGATGGCTTACTTTTTACTTTTCTTTACATTGATATTTTACATTTTCCACTTGTTTCAGTGTTCCACTATCCCGACGGTCAATAAATCACTTGCAGCAAAGCTACCGGATATTTAAAACTAAATTAATAATGTAACAAACCACTACAGTAGTGACTGTTGTGTCTGATGGTTATTAAAATAATATTATAATGTGTCAAATCTTTAAGGAAAACTCTGCATCAAAGAGTTTGTTATGTATATACTAACTAACTAGATGACTTACTGAACCCGAAGGTTCATCACCGAATTAACCAAAGGCCTCCACCGGACCCTATCCTGGGCCAACAAAATCCAGTCTCCTGCAACTCCTATCTCCCATAGATCCCGCCTGACATTATCCTCCCACCTGTGTCTAAGTCTACCCAGCGGTCTCTTCTCCTCAGGATTCCAAACCAATAACTGGTGCATACGAGTACAATTTAGTATGCTTGTTAATGAAACATAGTATCTCACAAGTTTGTCATGTGTTTGAAACATTTCAGGTAAAGGCAACTTACGTCTAAAATGTTCATGATCTGCTGATGTTTTCTAAAATATTTAGCTATAACTGTGATAACTGTACAATGAATCCGTAACTGCTATTGCAGGACAATTGCAAGGCCATTTCACGGGAGAGTGACAAGGGGAAGAGCTGTCGTCATGTTGGTATTCGTGTGGGCCTATACTCTGCCTTGGGCTGTAATGCCAGCATTGGAGATCTGGGGGCGATTTGTACCAGGTGAGGTTTATAAGAGAGACAGTGCATAACAAAGATGGTAGTAATGGAAGTATAGATGTGTTATCAACAAGGATTTCTATATAGATTCAAGTCTTTGGTTTTATGGAGTGTATAAGTGAAGTTCATGGTAGAATGGTTAGCAATTCTCTTTCATATTTTGGAGATCCTGGGTTCAAATTTTGGATCAGGCACCCACTATCCTTGCTCAGGTATCTCATGGTTTTTCTCAGCCTCTCACCTTTGTGGAACAGTTCATTATCATGTTCACAAAAGCCAATAACATCCTATTTTGAATCGGTCCAGTCCACATTCTCACACAATCTGTTTCTTTAAGATATATTTTAGTACTCTCTTAAGATTCTCGGGCTAAAATATTCAAGGCATTTCTCATCCAAACTCTTCTAATTTCCTTGTTACCAGTGTAAATTATGAAGCTCCTCATCATGCAGTTTTCTCCATTATCCTGTCACTTCATCTCTCAAGTCCAAATCGTGTTCTCAATCGCAGTCAATCTGAATTCCTCTCTCAAGGTATTAACGCAAGTTTCACACTTGTGAAAGATCTTTTTGTTTTTATATAGGAGATAGAAACTGAATCGAGCTGAAGAGACATAAGAGATTGAACTCAGTTGTAGTTTCACTTTGTACACACAATATTCATTTACATATGTTCATTACTTGGATACTTGGACGACCAGTTCTTCAAGTGCCTGAGCACTGCGAGTCCTAACTATTGCTGGCTTTGATCTATAGACATTTTGGTAGAACTCCTTGGACGGGTGATCGGCCCGTCGCAAGGCCTGTACCTGTACACAGGGCAGCACAACACAGAAAAACGCGGACAAACATCCATGGCTTGAGTGGGATTCGAACCCACGGTAACAGCAACCAAGCGGCACAAGGTCCACGCCTCAGACCACGTGGCCACTGTGAACCCCATATGTTCATTTATCTTGGAAATAACAGAGACCTATGTCTCATTTTTCTTTGCTGAATTCGTTGCATTAGTTGTACCTAAACCATTGTCGTAGTTTGATAGTTGTGACATGTCCAGCCGTTTAGGCAGTGTTAGCTACTTTCAAACCTCATAAAAATGACCAGATGAAAATAAAAATAGTTTACTTATTGGATGACAGATGCAGAATGTCTATAGAACGGCTTTTGTAGAACGTTTGAGATATTCGGTCTTTTGGTTAATTTTATACAGGTTTTTGAGTGCTGACAATATGTGGCATTTCAGAGGATAGTGAAATATGAATTACGATGATTTTATTTCACTCACCACACTTTTCCGTTACAGAGGGCTACCTGACCAGCTGCAGCTTTGATTACTTGACAAAAACACCCGAGAACCAATTCTTTGTGGTAACAATCTTCATCTTCTCATATATACTGCCCATGAGCCTCATCATCTATTTCTACTCACAGATTGTTAGTCACGTAGTTAACCACGAGAAGGCCCTGCGAGAACAAGTAAGTTGTCAGTTTTGTTGTTCTGCTAAATGATCTGTGAGTTATAAATATGCGGATCAAATGGGGACAGAGGGGTAGAATAATGATGAAATGCAGCACAAAATGAACAAAGTTGAAGCTTATTGAACAATAACAGATTTGTTATAGAACTTACGAAAGGTATAAAATATAATAATGAAATTCAGTATATATTTATTTATTATTTCAGTCTATACACAAACTTAATTTTAATTTTTAAATGTTGTTGTTAAAATTAAAATTTAGCGCTTTTCATCGTTATTACGATGTTACATT